GTTTTAAAGTTACATCAAAAACCAAAATCGATTTTGTCGAAAACTGATTGTGCATTAAATTTCCCGTTTTTCCCTTAATTTTTAGTTTATTGTTTATCCCGATTATTTAGAAAATTAATAGGTACCCTGAACAAATATAATTTATTGAATTTAAGTTTTAAATCAATTTTAAAACCATTTAAATATAATCATATATTTACTATATAAATTGGAACTGATTGCAAAAATGCTTTGATTTTAGGATTTGATGAATAGTGTCCAATTAATTTATAGCCTTCGCCATTCAGTAACATTTCTTCCAAACTTAGCATATTTCCATCCTTGATCAGTTTTTTAACTTGATATTGGTTCATAGGTAACGCTAAAATAATAGTTTTGAAAATAAATAATTATTTTATTGAATTATTTTTTACTTACCTCTAGGAAGGTTATAATTAACATAACACATGTTTGGCCCTAAACCAAATACATCATTCTTTGGAATTTTTTTTTGACATTTTCGTACAAGAGGTTTCATTTAAATTTTCAATTAGTTTCATTGATATTAATTTATGATTTAAAAAAATAATAATACAACGAAGTATATAATGATATGTACCTATACCTATAATATCTGACACTAATGAAATAAATATCTTGTCCAGGGAAGCAAGAAACGCCGATGACCCCGCAGTCCAATGCAGTTACTCGTTGCTAACAACATTTAATATCGACAGGGTTAATGATGGTCATCGGGATTAGGTATGATCTAAAGGAGGGGAAGTATTTATAATTTTTTWAAWATTATWTGAATATTAATGTATTTAAATTATTACATAATATATTAAAACCAAAGATATCCATTTAATTTTTCTCAAAAATAAAACACAACATTTTAAAAACAATAAATTAGGTACCTAATTCGTAATTAGTAATTACTACTAAATAGTCCAAGTCCAACTAATAAACTGATGTTCGATATATTAAAATATTTATTTTAATTACATATTAATAGCCACCGACTAATCAATAGCACACCAATGTAGAAATTTAATATAGTCTTTTTCAAAATAATTAGGAACTCCTAACAAAAAATTACGTATACAAACGGGAATACTCATGCAAAATCAATTTTGTTAAAGTTTAAAAATCAATCATATTTAAGACTTAATTTCCTAGATATAACACAAATAACAAAACATTTAAAGTATTTTTGTTTTTTTGAGCTATTTGTTRAAATTGTTTAGTTTTTTTCAATTAATTATGTTGATAAGATTTTATTACCAAGTCAACGATTRAAAAGTTATTAAAAAGTACAAATTCTTTCTCTYGCTTCTTATAAAATGATTAATTAGTAAAAAATATTACTTATACCTAAGTTCTTCTATTAGTCGTCTACAGCAATGAATTTAAGTTATTTGTTGTAAATCAAAACATATTATTCATAAAAACTTGAAACATTCCACTAATGTTATTGAACTTTCATTTTCTATACAAGATTATATTTTCAAAATATTTAGACTACATTTAAAAATAAATAGTCCTGCATTTTTTTTTCGTGTAATGTCGATKTAAAATTTTATCTTACAGGTTAAAAAKATTACATAATTTAGRGTTTCTCGTAAGTTCTTCTCATCTCAATTTAAAAATATTGAAAATACATWAGGCAATAAGGCATCTAACCTTCTAACCTCTTTCAATTTTCAGGTCACTGTAAAATATCGTCCAATTTCCAAGTGCGTAAACGGYAAAWTTTACGTTCATGATGATCCATAATAAATAYAATTTTTTAAAACAGTACGAAATTTGTAATTATGACTACTTGGGGTGTGAGGGGGACAAAGTTCCCCGCTTTTATATTCTAGTAAATTTTCAGAACCCCCCTCCTATTGAAAATTCCTGAGAACGCCACTGCGCTCATCAGATCGCATTTAACTCCGTTAATTTAAAACTTAGATTGAATTGACCTCTTATAAAATGTAAAGGTTAGATTTTTATCTGGCCAATCTCATAAGCTCTTTATTATATTTTAATTTAAAAACGAGTTATGATAAAAATATGATCTAAAGCCTCCTATGAGATTGACCAAATAATCTTA